GTGTAAATTTGGTTACGAGAGCATGAAATGCATGCATTCTTTGTCTTTGCCTCATTTTACGTGGCCTTCTTTACAGCTTCAAAAAAAAAATCAAATACAATATAATGGATTTGGGTTGTAGGTAGAGTTTTAGGTGGGGCTGATGTGAAAAAAAGGTATGATCAAAGTGAGGTGTTTTCGCCTTACCATTATGAGATTCCTTTTGAGCCTTGCAAGAAAAACTTGTTAACTATTAGTTTTTCATTTTTCTTTTCATTTTCCTTAGAGTTACAGTTGTTGTGTTGTTTGATTTGTGTCTTAAGTGTTATTTTGTTTTTAGTTTGTACTCTTGTTTTGTTACTAGATAAAGTGGTTCATGCTATGGACTTAAAGGTTAGTGACTTGAAAGTTATTTCCTAAATGGATGAACACCTGTTTGGAGGGCAAGTGTACCCATCGAGAAGTAATAAAGAGTTCTTAAATTAAGTTTTTGAAATATCATCCCACAAGGATTGATTTTCAATTACTAAGAATTTTCTAATTTAATTGTTTAAACTTCAAAGATATGAGATCAATTAAAACAAGAATTTGTAAAATCAACTATAAAACTAAGAGCAAGGAATACAATGCATGTATTGGTTAAACTTATCAAAGAAGAACCTAGGATATGAGTTTTCTCATTCAATCATTTATGTTATTTTTCTGTTGAAGTCTAAATCCGATTTCCTTGTGATTACTAATCATTTATACAAATACTATTAATACCCAATGGTTATGCAATATTAATATTCTTTTCTCTAAATTAACATCCCTAATAGTCATGCAAGACATCAATTTAAGAAAGCTTAAGGAACCTATGAACTTATTAATTCAGTAATGATTAGAAGAGAAAGATTGGTTTGGTCCACCTAATCCTTTATCTCGTTTTATCCTATAGATCTATTAATTAACCAAGGTACGGTCGCCTGACGATATAATTAATTAGGATTAAGAGAGAAGCGTAATAGGATAAAATCTAATCATGAAATAGAAATCAAATTTAGATTCAAACGTCAAAATCCCATAAATTCATGAAGAATAGTTCTCATAGCCCTAGTTATGGACTTAGTTACTCATGCTAAAGAAAGGAATTAAAACAATCATAAACAAAGTTATAATTAAAAGAAATAGCAAACTAGAATGTGAGATGTGTTCCCGGTCTTCAAGTACGATCGTTCGAAGCTTCAAGTCCCGCCAAGAGTGTGCCAAAGATCCCGGACAAAAGAGACGAGATGAGATGTATTCCAGAGCAAAAACCAAGGTAAAAACGGTGTCCGCTACGATACCTGAGGTCTCTCTTTTTAATAGGTTTGAAAACCTTAAAGACTCTTCATAATTAGGCTTCCCACAGATGAGCACGGTTATGCAAGGCCTTAAGCATGACCGTGCATGGGCTCAAAGCACCCCCATGCATATTGAATAGATCTGGACGTACTAACTGCTGCAAAGCTCTAATCTTCCATCAATTTGGACCTAGAATGAACCTAAAGTTTACTTGTGACATCTTTATACCAAATTACATAATTAATTTATAAATTATTGTAAACCTCAATTAAAATAAAGGTCAAATATGAATATATGGACAGCAAATTGGGTCAAAGCCCAAGTTTTTCTCTTCAATAGTTTTGTTTTCCATTGAAGTTAAGTTATTTTCCTCTAAAGCTAAAGAAAGGTTGCAACTGCCAATGTTAGCAAGATGCTAGTGCTCATTCCAAGAGAAGTTGTCAAAAGTCATTGTCTTAGATTTCATGCAAGTGTTAGAATATGATCTAATTTCTCAAGGTTCAATCTATGGTTCTTAAGACTACTTTCTTCCACTAACTTCTACTTAAGAAGATACATTTGCTTCTCTATTATGAGACACAAAGAATACTCAAGGTTTGTTTTAATAAAACTGTTTAAACTCATCCGTCTAACTTGCTCACTATCTAAATCAAGACCCGTCCAATCTGATCAGTGTCTTAGATAAAAATAGGTCACAATATAGAAATATTAGTTTATTTTAATTTTAATTTTTTTAAACTGAATCTTATCGGTACCTACACCTAATTATCAATATTTATTTTAAATCCTTATTTTGATTTAAAATTTTTTGAACTAAATCTCATCAATACTCATACCTAATTATCTATATTTATTTTGAATTCTCCCTCCTGATGGCAGCTACTTTCTTCACAAGACTTTTCGATCACTATTTTTTTTCACTCTTTGAATCAATGTGATTATTTAAATTATGAATATATAAAAAACCTCATCAAGTTGAACAGACAGAACTATCACAAATAATAATTTTTTAATATTTAACATAATTACTTTAATTAAAATTTATATTCAAATCATAAAGTAAACTAAAATAAACTTTATGTAGAATAATTTTATATCAACATATATTTAGAGATGACAATGGGTAGGGTATTATACTTTCTTTAAAAAAAAAATTCGTATCTAGTCTCATACTCGCATGGATAGTAATTTTAATCCTCATATCTATACCTTCTAGGTCTCGCATACCCATACCAGCCCCTATTACCCGCATGTGTCTAAGAAAAAAATACTTATATAATTTTACATAAGTAACATAATAATAAAAAAATTTGATATGTAACTTCTAAACAAAGGTTAAGCATAGACAGAAAACAAATATTCAAAGATCACAAGTGCTAAGTATATTTTAATACATCAACTTTTTAAACTAAAGTACTTAAAAATTGTAAGCAAAATTTCATATATAATCTTTAAGATCATCTAAAACAACCAACTCATAAACTTGAGAATCATGTACTGTCACTCTCTAAGACCTAAAAAATAAATATTAGTTAATTATTTATTATAAAGTCAAAATAATAGATATAGTTAGGCTATTTTACCTCTTCATCAAAATCAAACTCTCTAAATAAGAGCAAACACTTTTCTTTTAGGTTTATGTATTGCTTTGGTCCAACAATATCAAAAGAAATTAGAACATACAAGTATATAACAAGAATTAATTTTATATCAACCATGTAATAATTAAATTGTATTAATCTAATTAAATGATATAAAATAGTAATTTTTTTATTAAAAATATAAAAAAATTATTTTTATGGTTTATTTTATTGATAAATATATTTTTATGTTAATCTTATAAAACAAATTTAATTAGATAGATTTTTATATCTTCAAATATGCATCATTTTATTTGAGTAACATAAATATTTATATTAAATTTTTAAACCTTTTATTTTCCATAAAAAAGTATTTTGAAAATAGAAAATTATAAATTAAAAGATAATATTACTCAAATATTCAAAATAGAAAATTTGTCTATTCAAAAAAATAAAATAGTTATGACCTATAAAAGAACTATGAGTTGAATAAAAAACATAAGACATAAAATTACATAAAATAAATTGTAAATTTTTTATTTTAACCAAAATTTTATAAAAACATCCACAACAAATTTTTTAAAAACTAAAAGTGAGTTGAGTTTTTATTTTCTTAAATTCTTAGTTGCTTCATTATAGTAAAAAACTATTAAAACAAGATTATATAAAATTAGAAAAAAAATATAATTAAAAATATTAATAATTATTATAACAGAATTTTAGACTTATTTATTATGAAAGTTGTCAAACTTGATCTCTCAATCCTATGAGAAGTAATAGATTAGATATTTACCTGTAAATCACACTCTTAAAATATAACTCTCGATAGGATAAGTTATGAAGCAATTTATATGATTACAACTGTTAATGACTATAGAGAGAACCTAACTAAATATATAAAATATTAAGTATTAATCTTAATTTTTTCCTATAATAAATTTTTAGGTTAAGATCTCCCTCACATAAAATATCATAATTTATAATATATATATATATATATATATATATATATATATAATGAGTTGAGTATTTAAATACATATGCTCGCACTTATTTTTATTAAAATTTGTAAGTATTTTCTTTTATGCATATCTATACCTGTTTAATAGATAAATATCTTATCTAATAAATTTTAGAATTACTTATAGAAAACTTTACACGTTGTCATTCATGTACTTATCAAAAGATAGTTTGAATATATTAAAGGAGATGTACAATTCGTTTATCCAGTATTTTTTTTATAAAACTGTCATATTTTTTTTCCTTGAGATCAAAAGTCGTCACTATTTCTCCGCATTTGAGACCATCTCGTTATTAATGTCATCTCTTAGCACTCTAACTTGAAACATGAAAATCTAACTCATAGAGCCGACCAAGATAAAGAAAGAAGAAGAAGAATATTTGGTAGAAAGATAAAAATGAAATATCTTATAACGCAACGTGCTGTAACTACGTATTTACTTGACCCAACATTCACATTACTTTTTTCTTCTTCGTTGATAATAATGACCGCGTCGAATTCAAAATAAATACAACAAACTAATTCTATAATCCATCTGCAATTTTAATGGTTGTTATAACATTTTTTATTTTAACTTAAACTTTAGTAAATTTAACGATAAAAAAATATAAAAGTTTGTTACTCATAAAATGAGTGACAAGTAAGAATGACCAACCCGTTGTCCAGCTCTTGGTGCCCCATTCAATTTATCTTTTATCCCGTTCAAATATTTTGAAGTTATGTTTTTCTTTTTTGCCGATTTGTTTTCTCTTGGCACCAAATTGTTCTTTTAAATTTATATTTTACATTGTACCAAAAACAAAATAACCATATTTTGCATAAAAATAACGATTGATTATAAGGTTCCTATTATTGAACGTGTGACACTGAATCAACAAATTTGATGAAAAAGATAGTAATAATAGCAGTATTCGTTCTAATTTGATTACGGTGTGCTAGTAGAAGTCCAATTCTCAGGAAATGGTGGGTATCCTTGATCAAGGTTTGTCAAAAAAATACAAAGCCAAAAAAAAAAAAGGAGTCAAACACTAATCTGCTTTACAGAAAACACATGAGCACGGCTTACAATTACATAAATTTCCCTCTCCAAGAAAACCTCATCTACCGGTGTCAGATCTGGTCAACGACCTTAACCTCACAAAAAACTTGACCTTCTTGTCCAAATTATTGGACCCATGCTGTTCCTTCCTCTTCTTCCCACTCAACGAATCCCAATTCTCCGGTGACCCCATCAACAGCACACTCTCCGGCGACCTAACTCCGACCACCGGAGTCTCTTCATTATCCGTCTGGTCTGCTGCGGCGGCGGCGGCGAACATCCGCCCTTGCATAGCGGCGACCACCTCCCTCATCGCCACGTCAGCATCCCCTCTATTCCTCAGCAAAATCTCTCCCACGTGAGCAGGCGTGAGGGACCCACCAGAGCGAATGCACCCCTCCACGGCCTCGAACAGCGCGTGCGTTTCCACCCCGAGGTAGTTCCTCGCCAGCTCCCTAAAGGCGTGAACCCCGCACGTGCCGAGGCTGACGTGGACATCCATGCGCCCGAATCGCACGAGCGCAGGGTCCACGCTGTCCCTATGGTTCGTCGTGAACACCACGAGCCTCTCTTCCCCGCAACATGACCATAACCCGTCCGTGAAATTCAGAAGCCCCGAAAGCGTGACCCGTCCACTCTCCTCGCAACCCGAGCGAGAAAACGACGCCGCTTTCTCCTTCTTCGTTTTTAGCGACATTTTCGCTTGCGTTTTCTTCGTCGTTCTGTCGGCCGTTAAGTCGACGGAGCAGTCAATGTCCTCAATCACGATAATCGAACGATTCGTCGTTTGGATAAGTAACGATCGTAACTCGGAGTTATCAGAGACTTTAGTTAGTTCCAAGTCATAAACGTCGTAACAGAGGAAATTCGCCATGGCTGCAATGAGGCTTGATTTACCCGACCCGGGTGGACCGTGGAGCAAGTACCCGCGTTTCCATGCTCGACCGACCCGGTTATAAAACTCTTTACCGTTAGCAAACGCCGTTAAATCGTTTTTTATCTGCTTCTTCAGTTCCGGCTCTAGCGCTAGTGTTTCGAACGTGGAAGGGTGACGGAACGGGACGGAGACCCAACCCGATTCGAACGACCCAGACCCGGTGTTGTTCGTGAAGAGCCTGCGTTCTCTTGAGACGCGCTCGAACTCCTCCGCGCGTGCGGTCACATGCGCGAGGTAGGGCGAGAGGAGCGCGTGACGGTGCCGCTTCGGGAGGCGGAGCGTGAAGCTCCGCTTCTCCTCGAGCGAGTCCTGCACGGTTTCGACGTGGTGCGTCCACGTGACGCGGTGGCCGTGGAAGGCGTCGTGGACGGTGTGGTTCGGCGCCACCGCGAAGGAGATGCGGTTCGACGACGGCGAACGGGAGAGCGTTAATCGACGGCACGCGGCGGCAGGGGAGTGGTTCGTGGCGTTGAGGTAAAGGTGCACGTGACGGTAGAGATCGTTGAGGTCGACGCCGCAGTAACCGTTGAACTCTGGAATCTCGAAATAGGAATATGGAGAAAGCAAATCTTGAAGAGATTCGTATAATGAGTGAAGCAGAGAGAGAAGCTGCGATGGAAGAACGTTTTGGAGCACTGTGAGTAACCCTAACAGAGACCACATTTGCGATAATATCTCCATTTTTCTTCGTTTATGTTTTGTGTGTTGTGGCTTGAGATTGGGAATTGGTGGAAGTGGAAACTGGAACGCGAGAATGGTTTGTTTTTGAGGTTCTTATACGTCGCGTAAAAGCAGCAATGTTTTGGTTCTGTGATGGAAAAGAAGCATTGAGCATATAGCAGAGTTGGTAAAAGTTAAAGGTAAAGATGATGAAACCGACCATTTTGCTTTTTGCTTTTTGCTTTGTTCGTTTGTAGAAGATGTGATGTAAATGTGATAATTGATCTGTTCGTGGTTTGTTATGGCCATAGTCTTCTTGTGTTTAAAGCGTGGGCTACACATACATTGAGTACAGAATCTCAGAAAATGCAGATTTTTGTTTGCCAAAGGTTCCATCTTTCGTTTTGTTGCTTGTTGGAATCAATTCAAGGGTTTAAGTTCTTTTTGTGGGCTCATAAACCAATATCACTGAAAAAATGCAAGTTTTTGCCGGTGGTTCGGCTTCGACCTTTCAATTATTTTGGACCAAATAAAGAATACTCTCAATTTTTTTTTCCTTTTCAAGTGCGCAAGGTTTTGTATCATGGTTTTCGTTGATGTCGTTTGCTGTTGTCGAACTCAGAGAAAATTGCAGATAAACAGGACTTATTAGAGTGCAATTGCAGTATGGATATAGTTGCTTAAGTGTTTTCTTTAGCCTTATATACTCCTATTAATTGAAACCATGTACCTGACATTTATGATCATTTTGTTTTCTAATTTTAATTTTTTAAAGAATAAAAAACTGCCATGTTAAAAGTAGTTAATGTCAAAGGAGTGGACAAGTGGTTGATTTATATGAAATATGTATGATTTCTATTAATATTTTAAGTAGTAGTATTGTATACGAAAAAAACTCACTATTAGGAAAATTAGTTTATTCATATTTTGAATGCTTTTGGTTTAGATTGACTCGTAAAAGGTATTTGTGATCTTAAAAAATGTCAAATGAATAAGAACTATTAGAGTACCAATACCAAAAATTTAATCCTAATTGTGAGACTGCAACAATTATTTGTTGATAAACAATTAAACACCTTCACGATGAGCTTACTTGTTCAGGGTTGCATTAAATTTTAGGTATATTCGTCAAAATTCAATCAATTTTCACAAGCATCTTGGTCTTGTAAGTGGTAACTGAAGCCCATAATTGTACAAAAGCACACGCGCCACCTAGCTTTTGGTAAAGGTCTTCAAGAGAGAATAGCATCAATGAATCACGGCGGTGCGCATGCAAACACACGGGATTTGTTAGGGTATGGTATGGAAGGGATCTTGTTGAGTTGAAGCTGCTTTTGGTTCTTTCTTGACAAATCACACTTTATCTTTTTCCCTTCTTTGATCTTGTAATTTGCGCTTTCAGAGGTCAGAGAATGTTCTTATGAATTGTAACTCATCAGTCACTCATAATGAGTGCCAAGTAGGAGAAGATAATGAGGGGATGATGATTATGTGCTTATGGTGATTTTCACGTTTTACTGCATCATGTCGGTTCAAATTGTTACGGTCAATCACACTAAATTTTATATTCAATATATCTTTTTTCATGTTATGAACCCACTGGATAATTTTTGTATTCAATATAGCTCTTCATGTTAGAATTTTCACCTTTGTACTAATGGGCTGTATAGGTCTTTGCAAGTGATGAGGTTATATTTATGTAACTATAGATTGTAAGTGAAATGCCGATTTGTTATTGAGTTGCTTGTTTGATTGGGCACTTCAATGCTTTGAACTTTTCATTACCTTATTTTAGGCTTTTACTTGAGGTGGTGGGAGGGTCTATGAGATTGAGATGTATAGATCTTAAAGTTATGCAATTGGTAGTATTCTTTCTTGTGCATTACACTTCTTTTGTATCTTTACATGCTTATGCTTTTGAAACAAAGTTTCATTTATGCTTCTTTACAGAAATTTGTCTAAATCTCCTTTACTAAAGCAGTGCAATTGGCTCCATCAGATCGTGATCCTGTGGTGTTTGGTTGTTGTTCTTATCTAATCTTTCTTGCCCCTTCAATGGTTTTAGGTATCTGCTTATAAAATGGTTGAAATTTTGAGAAAGGGAACATGGAAAGAGAAAACAAAAGGAGGAGAAAAAGAAAAAGATGCATGTGTATTGGCATTAAAAGCCACGAATATGGAGGAGATGGGCAAAAATTTCAGTGTAGGTCAGCCTTGAGAGAAAGCTCAGCTTAAATGAAGGGTATCAAGAATAAAGCCAAAAAGAGGGTTATCCCTGGAATGTCAATGATCAAATGGATCATATTCCATCTATGCATGAGGCTCATAGCCATATCGATTCATCAAGAGAATAGATCAGATTATTAAGCATAGCAGTGTTTTCTATCAAATGGAATATGATCAGACTATTAAGCGTAGTAGAAGTTCTAAATCAAGCCATGGTTTTGTCTTATTTTTGGTGATTGGATGGGACTAAATGCCCAAGTAACCCACATAGTTAAGGGGTTATAGAATAAAGAGATTGCATTTCACCTATGTGATGTTTCATCCAACCCAAAATCCTAAAGAATTAAGTTGTAGGTTTTTCAGCTTTCGCTTTTTTTTTTCCAACGCGAAACTTTTTCACACACTCGCTACCTCAACCTTATAAGATTAGTTAATTATGTGGTCACCATCTATTAAGAGTGTAGGTCAGCCTTGAGAGAAAGCTTTATATATGGGGGTATCAGAATAAAGCCAACAGTGGATTCTCCCTGAAACTTCAAATTGAACAAATGGGAAAACCATGATATTAATCATCTTAATGATGCATTATTTTCAATTATTTATCTATACATATAAAACCATGATATTTCTAACTTGGTGATGTGAGTATAGCCAACTCTTTCAAAGTTCTAGTGTGACTATGAGAAATAAAAACACACGTTTTATTATTTACTTTTTTTTCTTCCCACTGTGATAGATGCAGGCCAATGCAAAATGACTTATATAAAATCTTCTGAAAAATTAAAGGTTAAAATTATTTTTTATAACTACTTTAAAACTGATGCTTAGAAAAGGTTCTCAGTTCAAACCCCATATATACAGTTGTCTTCAACTTGTTGATATTGTATATTATTGTCATAGTTATAACACCACAATTTTAAATTATATTTCTAGCCAAAAAAAAATTATATTAAGTATAAGGCTTAAGTTAAAAATTACTGTCTCGTATATAAAATTAATATTTTGTTTTTAGAGACAACATTTGTTTTAAATTAGTTATTATACTTTGAATTGTTTGATTTACAGTTTGATAAAATTGATTTTGAATTGTTGAACGTAATTGAAATGTGTTTAAAATTACAAAAAGAATTATTGTTCTAACTCCAAAACATCTGAAGATTTTGTTGGGTTGAAATTTTAATTGATAGCGTTATAATAATAACAAGTGATGAAAACTAAAGTGAAATTAATCTTAAACAAAAGTAAGCATTACAATTAGGAGCTGAATTACATGTTAACCGGAATTAAAGAATGTCCTGATTATGTATAGGACATGTAAATGTTCTATGTAATGAAATACTTAAAAAATGTTTTTAGATATATAACGTATTTACGTGCTTATTTTTAAAGTTATGATAAATTTAACTACAAAATTTATTAAAATAATTTTAATAAGTTATATTAAAAAATTTATTGAAATAAAATAAAAAGGTTTATAGGTGTGTCAAACTGTTTTTATAATTTCTTCATAAAATTTTCCAAATTAAGTTAAATTAGTAAATTAATTCATTAATGTTTTTGCTCTGTTTCAATTTAGTCTTCTAATTTATTTTTTTTATCTCATTTTAGTTCTTTAATTAAGTCTTGTAAAAACAATTGTTAAATTAAAAATTACGGTTTTTTTTGTTTTTCCTGTAAACTCCAGTAAAAATTAATTTTTTATATATTTTTTCTCATTTTCTTTGTCTTTTTACCCCTTCATGCTTTTAACCAAAAAAAAATCTCTTTTTTTTCTTGTTCCCTTTACCTCTTATCCATACTTATACAACCCATTTTCTATCCTCTTTTAAACTTTGATAAAATGTTCTCTTTTATGCATTTTTCAGTTATGTCTTGAAGAAAAAAAATATAAAGAATAAGGTAATGATGTTGAAGGGAAAAAAAAAAAGACTATTGGAGCATGAACGAAAGATAAAATATTAAAAAAGAAAGAAATAAAGAAAAAGAGAAAAACATTTTTTTTTTGTTTGTAAAAGTTCATCAGGGAAAAAAGGAGAAGAAAGAAGGAAAAAAAATAGGAAGACAAAAGAATCAATTTTACGTCAAAATTTAAAGAGGAGGAAAAGAAACGATCATATGTATAAATAAAACGTAAATAAAGAAACCAAAGAAATAACATTTTTATTACAGTTCCAGTGAACTGAAAAAACGAGTTATAAAGGACTGATGAGCGGTAAAAGAAAAATAAATAAATAAATAATCAGAAAATTCACTTAAAAATGTAATAATTTTGTTAGAAGTCAAGAGGAAGATAAAAAGTGATTTTTTGTGCTGAATTAATATTTTTTACAAAAAATAAATTTTTAAAATATTTATAAATTAAGAAAAAAATTAAAGCACCAAATCAAAATAAAACTAAAAAGTTATAGATCAATCTATTAATTTTTTTTATAAAAAAAAAATATGTTAGTTATATGAAGAACAATTCTTACTTAATTTAGTTCCTTAAAAATTTATCACTTAAATTCTTGGAACATAATTACCATCCATTTAGAAAAATCTTTAGGGTCGTATAGTTATAATCCAAGCACCTTTTTGAACTTGTACTTTGTTATATTTTTTAATGCATAGAATTTTTTATGGCGAAGATTAAGTAGAGCTGAAAAAAGAAATTGATCGCAAATTATTTAAATAAAATTAAATGATATGCATATCACCAACTTTATTATTACATAAATAAATTTCTCTTTATTACTTTATCACTCTTTTTTGCTAATACTTATCACAATTTTTACTCCACTCATAAAATTTAATTTGAAGAATTTAAAATTTTA